CTTCTTAATAATATCCTGTACGTTATACTCGAACGAAAAAGTCTAAACGTACGGGCTCTAGGCAATTCCCACGATCACCTTCGAAATTTCCACTCAACGAAAACGAACCAACGCAAAATTAAGGAACGGATATCACAAATAAAATGCTTCTGCAACAGAACGTTATATTGAATCTCAATGACTTTACTATAAATTATACGTATATATAACATGCCACTTACACATATAAATACAATCTGTGTATAATATATATAATACGTATGAACAAATTGTTATTCCATTCTCGGAAAAAACACTCGCGAAAAACCACGTGGCACCGCATTAGTGTTGCAAAAATTGTTCTCATCGAGCGTTCACGCGAAACATATACAGTGGCTCTTACTAATATTCGGACACTCTTTAGAACAGTATAATTTTTTTTAAACTGGATCAAACGACTCGAGTTTTTTTTTTAGAAGTTAGAAGGATTAGTATACTAGACGTGTATAAAATTTTTTGAAAATATTACTACTTGTGGGAATCACTGTTTACAACCTTTTTACCTGAGCCTGTAAGGAAAAATTTCAAACATACGTTTTGTAGATTTATGTCAATTATACGCATGCTGGAAATTTCATCGAAATCGGTAGATGGAGGAACAAGGAGGATGGAGGAATCTTCAGATTTATTACAATTATAGGCCGAACGTCGTGAAACAGTGCGATCTTCACAATCTTTAACGATTTGTAGCTCGTAGCAACATTAACCGATTTCGATGAAATTTTCAGCGTGTGTATAATTGGCATAGATCTACAAAACGTATTTTTTAAATTTTCATTACGGGCTCGGATAAAAAAGTTGTCGAATGTGACCTTTACAATTTTCGTTCGGTCCCGAGCACCGCGACGCAGGACCGGCAGGACGAGTGCGTAGCCGAGCCGCACGGCATCAGCGGAACCGTGTTACAATGTCGCGATAAGGCCTTCGACAAAGGGATCCCGCGAGGAACCGAAGCGGGACCGCGGTTGCCGAGGCGAGAGGGCTCCAGTGTTTCTTCGCTTGAGGGGACTCGCGTTGGGTCCTGTGTCGCATGGGTCGCCAAAAGCGACGATCGCTCGACGTCTTCCGTATCGCGTCGCACTTGCCACCACCACGTCGGGTGTGGACGACTCCGTGCTATAAAGCACGGAGGTTTTCACCCTCGACACGCATTCTATTGAGAACACGCCTAGAAATACATTAACGCGTTAAACGCCCAGCCTGTTTTGCTGACCGTTCCGTTCAGGCCACACTTGGCCGTCAAGTGGGCCATGCGAACTATGAACAGAAGACGACCAACGAAAAGTATACTGTCAGGCCACTGACGCGGCCTGAACGGAAAGTATAGCGTCAGTCACCGGCGACTGACATGGCGCTTAACGTGTTAATTGTTTAGTTCGAAAACGCGTTAATTTCTTTCCTCTAAATAAGACTCGCCCTGCCGCGAGTCAGCGTTTCCAAGCGTCGAAGAGTCACGGTGTTTTGGGACGCTACAGTTTTCTTCGCGATTCCCACAAATTGCGATTTTTCCAAAAAAATTTCATACACGTCATCGAGTACACTAATCCTCCTAACTTCTCGAAAAAACTCAAGTCGTTAAGTCCAATTTTAAAAAAGTTTTACCGTTCTAAGGAGTGTCCGAATGTCAGTAAGAGTCGCCGTACATACATAGGATCGTTTGTTAAGTATAATCAACGATACATTCGGAAAATTCGTATAAAAAAGAACGCCGAGTTACAGAAAATTCGAGTGGTTCGAACGAGTTCGTTGCAAGACCGATTACGTGAACTATACTTATTATACCGAACGACAGATTAACCCTTTCGCTACGGCGGTCCTCGCCGCGGAATCCCCCCCGTAGAACGAGGCGCCGCGCCAAAAGTGTAGACATTGCGCGCTCGGGGCCAAGTCTTCCGTCTCAAAAACGCCATTGGAACACTGCTTTTAGGAGCAAAACAGCAATGTATTTGTAACTTTTCCACGAACGCATTTAATTAAACATGAAAGTTAATATTTTAAGGTTTCAAGCCCAGTTTAAATACGAAATTTTGTCGCGGGTGACTGTAGTCACCGGTCGCAGCGAAAGGGTTAAGAACAACCTTTACTTGTCGTTAAGCGATAAAGAGCGAAGAAAAAAAAAGAGAAATCGTTAATTCTTAATTTAATTTGCCGATCGATAGGAAAGTTCGTGACTTGAATTAACGAACGATCGATTCGTTCGTTTCTTATTTTTTGCTTAATCGTTTATCTTAACTAAGGAAAAACAAAAGCAAACAAAGACGACGAAACTTAAGAATTACGGTTGATGGAGAAGTTTTGCTGTAATTACGAAAAATCGTTCGATTTAAGTATACGTAACACTACCGGCCAAAAGTTTGGAATCACCGAGCATTGCAATTTGCGGGAAAATGTCGAGCGACTTTGAGAATTTCTTATCGTTCGAATCAGTTGATATGAGACAAATTGGTAAACGTAGAATTGAGATAAAGGTGAAATCTATAAAAAAATTAGCAGCAGATTTAATATCGACGAAAAGTGGGAGGTGATTCGAAACTTTTGCCCGGTAGTTTATGTGATAATCATCGACGATCGAGAGATGAAAACGGTAGAGTTAAATGAAGCGAATGAATTAATTTGATTTGAAGAAAAGAAAGAGACACTGGAAAAAAGATTCGAATAATCTTCGATTTTTATCCCTCGAAATCGCTTGTCTTTGTCAGGGTCAAAAAATTTCGTCGATATCAGTCCTTTTTTTTCTGTCCACGCTTCCTCCTTCGTCTAGTTTTAAAACCGTCACGTTCAATACTGTACAGCAATAATGGAACGTAGCAATTGACTCCTTGGAATGTATACCATTTCTTCTTCTTCTTCGCGCGCGTTAAAAAGTGTCGCGAAGTTCGAGCTTCGAAACGCCGATCGTTTTCAATCAACAGAGGCAAGAGGCTTGGTAAAGCAAGTGCTTGGTCTCCATCTACCCCGAACGATCTCCCCGCTAAAAGTGTTAAAATCGATAATAAAAAATCCTCCTCGGAGGTTCACTCGTTATTCGTTGCTTCGCAATCGTCTCGTATATTTTTCTTTTTCATTTTCTTCTTCATGGAAGCGATAAGTACCGAGTTCGAGGAGAACGGTGAGCCAGGAATGTTGGTTAAGTTTTAACAAAGTGTTTTATAAAAAAATTAAATTAGTGGTTGTTGGCAATTTCAGTGGTTTGTCGGAAGAAGTGTTAGAAATTTGAAACAAAGGAGGCGGAGAATGTTTAATAAAATACTTGGGAATGAGGAGAAATTAACCTAACTTAGATAGAACTGTTAGCTTTTTTTTTTCTTTTTGTACAATTTACTAGAAACTTAATGTAAAAAGAAGTTCAACGAGGAATTGTCTGTGAGATGTACATAGCGATGGGAAGAATACTTGTCAGAACAACGTGCAATTCTTACTGTCACTGTCAATACAGGGTGTTTCGAAATTAATTTAGCGTTTCAATGAATTTAAATGAACTTTTGGATAAATGAATTAATTGTACGATTACTAGTTTATCTTCAATTGTAATCTTCTTGTAGCCAATGTTTAAAAAGATTCACTAAGTTCAATTTAGATTGAAAATTTAGAGGGACACAAGTGAGCACCAAAAATGAATGACTCTTTTTAATTTTAAATTTATCAAAAATAATTTCTTCTTATGATTCAAATTTATCTTTTGAAAAGCATAGGTTATGACAAATAAGCGAGAAGAACTGGAGGTTATAGTAACATCCTCGTCAAAAGAGCGATATGTAGTACAATTACTATTGATAATAATTTACAGTTCCAAAAGGAAAATAAATTTAAACTGAAAAAGGTACTTTCATTTTCACCAAAAAGTAAACCAGTAAACGTTATTAAATCTATTTTGCAAAATTCACCTAATTGAATTGAAATATGTAGTGAACTTTGAGACACTCTGTACAATAGTCTTTCACTTATCTTCCATTAATCACCAATAACAGCTCCGAATCTCAAACACCGAACCCAATAATCATCAGTTCCCAGCAGCCACTCGCCTAACTTCCCCAGCAAACACAGTTATACCAATCCCGTCGCTATGTACCAAGCTTAAACTTCCCCCATTTTCTCCTAGTCTCAGTTTGGAAACAAGCTAACAAACAGCGGATTACAAGAACCAACAAAGCCCTAACCGTCCTTCTCCATCTCGATTCAACATTCCAGGCTGCACCTCTGCCAGTCTGACCAACCTATCTCCCCCCCGAGAGAAACGCGCGTGTATGTACAAAAGAGCAACTGTGCAGAAGATCGATCCTCACGGTGTATCCTCAACGATCGTTTGGAAATGTTGAAAGGAATTGGAAGAAGTTGTTGGTGATCCGTGGAAGATCGACGGCTCTTCTGGTCGATGAAAGCGATCGCCACGATGACGGTTGACAGGACGATTAGGCGATCGAGACGAGAGATGAGGCGAGAGTCGTTGTGGACCAAGTGAAACGTGTCATGGCACCGACAGCTACACGGCAGAGGAGGGACGACGATAACGGATCGAAGGATCCTGCTATCGGTTGACTACCGATTCGTCAGCAGGAGCAGGATTTCTTTGAGCTGGTCGGCGATTGGTTCAACGCGAAACGCTCGCCGTCCGTTGGATCCTGGGAACCGTCGCCCTTCATCAGCTGGTCGTTTTGTAGGATCTGTGAATCGAGAGGCAAAGTGGGTTTGTTAGTGGTGGGTTCTGTTCTTTTCTCGTGGGGAATTGGGTGAGATTGATTGGTTGGAGGTTGTCTTTTGAGGAGAGTTGAGAAGAGATGGAGTGATTAAGCGGGTTTATTGGTAGTTTGTGGGATGGAGAATTGGTAATTGTGTTGTGGGATTGAGAAGTGTATTTTTTGTTTGTGGCGAAGAAAAGGATTCTTTGGTAATCTTTCAGTTTTTATTGATGGGTGTATTGAGAAATTGAGCAGGTTTATTGGTAGTTTGTGTGATAGAGAATTGGTAAGTGTATTGTGAAGTGTATTTTTTTGTGGTGAAGAGAAAAATTGTTAACTACTCTTTCAGTTTTTATTGATGGGTGTATTGAGAAATTGAGCAGGTTTATTGGTAGTTTGTGTGATGGAGAATTGGTAATTGTATTGTGGGATTGAGAAGTGTATTTTTTGTTTGTGGCGAAGAAAGGGATTGTTTGGTAATCTTTCAGTTTATCCTGATGTGTGTATTGAGTAATTCCGCAGGTTTATTGGTAGCTTGTGTGATGGAGAATTGGTAATTGTGTTGTGGGATTGAGAAGTGTATTTTTTTTGTGGCGAAGGAAAGTATTGTTTGGTAATCTTTCAGTTTCTATTGATGGGTGTATTGAGTTATTAAACAGGTTTATTGGTAGTTTGTGTGACGGAGAATTGGTAATTGTATTGTGAAGTGTATTTTTTTTGTGGTGAAGAGAAAGATTGTTTATTAATTTTTCAGTGAATTCTTTTTGATGAGTGTATTGAATGGTTGAGCAGGTTTATTGGTAGTTTGTGTGACGAGAAATTGATAATTGTATTGTGGGATTGAGAAGTGTATTTTTTTGTGGTAAAGGGAAAGATCATTTATCAATTTTTCAGTGAATTCTTTTTGATGAGTATATTCAACGACTGAGCAGGATTATTCGTAGACTGTACCATGGAGAATTAATAAACTCAATTCAACGTGTTGTGAAATTATAATACTGTGGAACTGGGAAGTTTATTTTTTCATGTATCTATGGAATTAATTGTGTGTTTACAATTTTTCACTTGGTAGGTTCTAAAGTAAATGGTTTAAGGAAATACACACAAAAAGTAAGTTAACGGTAGATCAATTTTGTAAAAAATCGTTAATTTAAGGTGTAGATTTAATAGAAAAAAAAAAAGAGAGAAAACGGAAAATACAATTACTCTGTATGAGAAAATATTCCATTTAACATACCACAGAGATATTTTTTCACACACCATAACGTCGTATGGTTGCGTAGATGGTGTCGACGTACCGAATTAGTTCGCGACGTGCAATTAACTATGCGCCGTAAGACGATTACCTTGGCGCGGAAAATACGTCATTGATAAATCCATCGGGCACGTTGTACGCGCGTAACACAAAAGAAACGTTAATCGCAGGGGCAATACGATAGTCCGCAAATAACTTGTGCGTAGCTCTCACGCCACTATCTTCGTCAATTGAATTTCGCAGACGAATCAAGAAAAACCGCGTCAATAAACATTCACGATTGCACTCTGTTACTTGTTTGTACGTTCAACACTTCAATCAGGCTGACTTTCATTTATTTAACACATTTTTTCAATATTTCTGTGTAGTTTAGCATTTCTTGTTTTCCTTCGATTTACTCTTTCCTCGAGATCTCGAGCTGTTTCAGACAGTTCAAGTCTTATCTCTCATTCAATAATTTTCCCTCGATTTTCCTAATCTTCTTGCCTTTCGTTTGATAGTCAATATTTCAGAAAAGCAAATTCCGCTAAGTTTAATGCAAATAAAAGATTTAAAGGGTCAAAAGTGAACACCAGTGCTCGTTTAAGCAACTGAGAGTTAAAATAATCGAAAGCTGAAGTAGATTTTAATTTCAATTTCATAAAAATTTAAACAAGAAATTTTTTACTATTTCTTTTCTCACGAATCGGTCTCAAATAATTTCAAATCTATTTGAAAACAAACACAAATGGGTAAATGATCAACGGTGACGAATTGTTACTCACTTTATTGACAAGAAATCGCGCTGCCTCTTCGATGTTGATATTCTCCTTGGCTGAGGTCTCGAACCATCCAGAGAAGTTCTTCTCCTTGCAGTATTCGTCCATTTTCGCGGGTGTATTCACCAAACCTTCCTTCTGCTGGTCGCACTTGTTCGCCAACAGGACGCAGGGGATCGGCGAACCATCAGGAAGTTGTACCTTCGAGTCCAGGTCTTGTTTCCACTTCACCACTGCGTCGAGGGTAGCACTTCTCGTCACGTCGAATACTATGAACGCTCCAACTGCTTCCTTGTAGTACACTCTGGTCATGTTTCCGAACCTCTCTTGACCTGTACATTTGTTCGAAACAAATCGTAGAGTTTGGTGAAAATTCATCGTAGATTTGATTGTGAAACTGATAGATTTGGTAGAAATTTGGAAAGAATATCGAGAGATAATGGTTAGGTAGTAATTAATAACGTATTTAAATAAATGTGAATAGTAATGATTTACATTTTTAAGCAAATGTGAAAAATAACGGTTGCCATTTTTAAATAAATGTGAATAATAATAGTTGAGATTTTTAAATAAATGTGAATAATGGTGATTGATATTTTTAAATAAACGGGAGTAATATCTAGAGTGTTCATAGTGAATTTTTCTATCTATTATATTACAGGAATTATTTGTGTATTTTTGAGGTATAGAAAGCAAAAGAAATTTCGATTTGATAAAAGAAGAATTTGAGAATTTATATTTAAAGATTCAGAACATTAAATAATTATATAAAGATTATGGATTGTATAGAATGATCGATTAAATAGAGATTTAAATTTATAATATAACGGGGAACACAAAACAGGTATAACGCAAGTCTACTACGAAATTTCTTTTACTCGGAAGAAGAGACTTCAACTGAACACCTGCACAGGCGATGTGCCTACTGGCGCCAAATTCACCGTTTTTAAAACTCACTTTAAAAATGATTCTTTTTCAAGCAAGTCTCTTTAAAATCCGACAATAAATAAAACAAATCAAATTCTTCTTTACTAAAGACAATAAAAATACCCAAT